TATATACGTTTAACAAGTATCCGCATGATCATTTTCTTGAGTTAATCAAAGCTCACCAGATCCGCTCCATTAGAGTATAACACATCCAGAACATCAAAATGCCCATTCTCAGCAGCCAACGAAAGCGCCTGGTTCATTTGTTGACGAAATTTGGCAGAACGATTTTCCTACATAATGAAATTGTAATGGTTTTATCGGAGACGAGATAATATATACATACAGGCTTTACAGCAGCCAATATGTAGTTAACAGTCAAAGCATGCCCTTCTTGGGCAGCTTCCATAAGCGGTGTATTAGTTCCTAGCTCAAGATCACCTCCATGCTTTACTAGTACATCCAACACCTCTCTAGAACAAACGAATGGATTGTTTTAGGAAGCTTTAGTGCTACGAGAGCTTACGTGAATCCACCACATGCTGCAACAGTAAGTGCAGTTTCCATAGTCTCATCAGTAGTTGCATTCACCTGCGCACCATTCTCAAGCAGTATCTTCACCACATGCTAAAGCGATATTATTCATCCTCATTCTGTTGTTTAGGAAAATCGAGAAAGAATCTGTTGAGCAAAAAGGTTTCAGTTCACAATCTTCACAATTGCCTGCTTACCACATGACCTTCCCTAGCTGCCTCCATTAATGGTGTGTAATTTTCGTCATTAGTCTCCTCAATATTAGCTCCAGCATCGATCAATAGTTTAGCCTTGAAAAAGAAACGAATCAAAGCAAACAATAAGACACAGCAAAATCATGATCATTCACAAACCAATTCAGCATGACCTCCACAACAGGAAAGCGTTAACGGACTTTCGTAAGACTCGCTCGTGAGGTTAACAGGAGCACCAGCTTGTATCAGCACACGAGCGACCTGAACCAGCTAGGTCAATGCTGATCTAATTGGTGTAAAAAAGTGCACATTGGATTTCAAAAAGTTATTCGCAAAGTGAAGAAAATACGCAAAAGATGGAATCATCATAAAAATAGATGGCTCGAAAATGATTTTCTTTAACATCTTAAATGAACCTCCAAATGCCCATCCATTGCAGCCTCCATCAATGCTGTATGTAACTCCTCGTCCCTCGTGGAGCGGTCGTAGTCGTCAAGTGATAAAAGATATTCAATCACATCAGTGTACCCCTTATAAGCAGCCAACGTCAAAGGAGATTCCTGCAAAGACCATAGACAGATTTGCTTCACAAGAATTAAAAAAATACCTTGAACTCGCTATTCATATTTACGAAGACAGCCTTGGCCCCGGATTGAATGAGAAGTTTTACAATGTTGAGATGTCCTAAAAGGAATTAGTAAAGGCAATGACGAGATACGACAAAACCAATCAACCTGCACTCGCAGCTTCCATCAAAGCACAGTGACCGTTTTCATTTCTCA